AGTAGTCTAGTAGTAGTAGTAGTAGTAGTAGCAGTAGCATAGTAGTAGTAGTAGTAAGTAGTAGTAGTAGTAGTAGTATAGTAGTGTAGTATAGTATAGAGAGTAAGTAGTAGTAAGTAGTAGTAGTAGTAAGTAAGTATAAGTAGTAGTAGTAGTCGTAGTAGTAGTAGTAGTAGTAGTAGTGGTAGTAGTAGTAGTAGTAGTAGTAGTAGAGGTAGAGGTAGTAGTAGTAGTAGTAGTAGTAGTAGTAGTAGTAATACGAGAAGTAGTAGTAGTGGTAGTAGTAGTATTTGTAGTCGGAACAATCGTAGTAGTAGTAGTAGTAGTAGTAGAAGTAGTAGTAGTAGTAGTAGTAGTAGTAGTAGTAGTAGAGGTAGTCGTAGAAGTAGTAGTGGTAGTAGTAGCAGTAGCCGTAGTACTCGTGTAGTAGTCGTGGTGGTAGTAGTAGTAGTAGTAGTAAAGTTTAGCTTCGTGTGGTCGTAAGTAGCCGTAGTAGTAGTATAGTAGAAGTAGTTAGTAGTAGTAGTAGTAAGTAGTAAGTGATAAGCAATAGTAGTAGTTTAAGTAGTGTAGCAGTAGTAGTAGTAGTATTAGTCGTAGTAGTAGTGTCGTAGTAGTATGTAGTAGTATAGTAGTAGTAGTAGTAGTAGTAATAGTAGTATAGTAGTAATAGTAATTCAGAGCATATTAGTATTATTAGTAGTAGTAGTAGTAGTAGTAGTGTACTAGTCGTAGTAGTGGTCGTAGAGTGAGTAGTAAGTGAGTAGTAAGTCAGTAAGTAGTAGTAGTACAGTAAGTAGTAGTAGTAAGTATATTAGAATTAGTATGTGAGTATAAGTGTAGTAGTATAGTAGTAGTAGTAAGTAGTAGTAGGTAAGTAGTAGTAGTAGTAGTGGTAAGAGTAGTAGTAGTAGTAGTAGAGTAATAGTAGTAGTCGTAGTAGTCAGTAGTAGTAGTATGCAGTAAGTACTAGTCGTAGTAGTAGTAGTAGTAGTAGTAGTAGTAGTAGTAGTAGTAGTGGTAGTGGTAGTGGTAGTGGTAGTGGTAGTAGTAGTAGTAGTAGTAGTAGTAGTAGTAGTAGTAGTAGTAGTAGTAGTAGTAGTGGTAGGAGTCGCAGTCGCCGTAGGAGTAGCAGCAGTAACAGTAGTAATACTAGTGATAGTCGGAGTCGTAGTCGTAAGAGTAATAATGGTTCCATGTAAAGAGCAAGCGTGCGAGTGAGATGATGACGACGATGGTGGCTTCGACGACTATAGCAGAGGCCTAACGGTGGCCGCCGCAATGGAATAACTAGTTCCATCTACTATTGGGTCCCAATCCGTCTATAAGCCCGCGGAGCAAATACATTGGGGGTTATTAAAGACCCTGCGAGGTCATCGACCTCTCCTTCACGAGATCGATGCACTCGGAGTCCCTCTGTGCAAAAGCAGGGTCAAGAGGAGGAACACGAGGAGGAACAGGAGGAGGAGGAGGAGGATAAACATAACGAAGAGAAGCAGGAGGAGGAGCCGGAGGAGGAGCAGGAGGAGGAGGAGGAGGAGAACGATGAAGAGGACGAAGAAGAGAAGGCGGAGGAGGAGGAGGACAATGACGGGGACGAGAAAGAGAAGGCGAAGGAGGAGGAGGAGGAGGACGGGGACGAGAGCATCGAAAGGCTTGACAGGCAGAGGACCCAGCACGCTCCGCGCGCTTCGGCACCGCCCGATGTCCTCATCGGGGAGGCCTCCCGCCTGCCTCAGGGCCGGGTCACCGGACAGCGCCGACGCCGCGAGCGGCACGCGGGCGGCCTCTGGCGGGCCGCCACTCGCTCCCTCGCCGCCGGCCGCCGCCGGCGTCGTCGCGGGGCGGCCTCCCCTCCTGCTCCTCCTCCTCCTCCTCCTCCTTCTCCTTCCCTTCCTCCTACTCCTCCTCTTCCACCCTCCTCCCGCTCCTCCTCTCCCCCTTCCTTCCTCCACCTCCTCCTCCTCCTCCTTCTCCTCCTCCTCCCCATCCTCCTCCTCCTCCTCCTCCTCCTCCTCCTCCACCCTCCTCCTGCTCCTCCTCTCCCCCCTCGTCCTCCTCCTCCTCCTCCTCCTCCTCATTTGCCCTCCTCCTTCTTTTCCTTCCTTTCCTCCTTCTCCTCCTCATCGTTCCATACCCCCGTCCACTTTTGATTTTCGGCCGCGGAAGCCATCAAACGAGACGGGAAATCAAGCACAGGAAATTTGAAATAGTGTGGGACAAGTCGCTCCGAACATTCTCCTTTCCCCGGCGTTCGCCGCCCCCCTTCCGGGTATGTAAATCATATATGATTCTGACCACATGTCCATCCTAAATATGAATTTGCACTATCCCCGCGGGGCTGGTTCCCTTGTAAAGAACGATGCGCGGGGTCATCGTTTGTTCTAACATTGCATTTTTTCGGGAATCCCTTGCAAAACATGGGACGAAGTGCACACGCGCGCGCCGTCGCGCGCGCATGCCGAAATCCTCCAAAAACCTTCGGTGTCGGAAGGAATTCGCAATCGAGTTTCCCCAAAAACATGCAAAAGCACAGGGTTTCGCAACACTGATTTGCTGAAAAAGCTTACGCGCGAGCTCTTGCGAAATCTTAAGAAAACCATTTTTTTCAAGATTTTCAGAACATGCTACCGAACGGGCTTCGCGCGCGCATTTCGAAATCTGTCGAACGCCCTTGCGCGTGTGCCGTCGCGAGAATCCTCTGCAACAAATGGGACGAAGTGCAGCCGCGCGCGTCGTCGCGCGCGTATGCCGAAATCCTTCACAACCCATCGGCTTCGGAAGGATTTCAACATCGTGTGTCCCAAAAACCTACAAAAACACAAGGTTTCGCAACACGGATTTTCAACAAAAGCGTGCGCGCGCGCTCTTGCGTCGTCGTCGTCGTCGCCGTCCTCCCTCCTCCCGCGTCGTCGTCGTCGTCGCCACCTACGCCGTCCTCTGTCTTTCCTCGTGTTCGTCGTCGTCGTCCTCTTTGGCGTCGTGGTCGTTTCCGTCGTCGTTGTCGCCGTGGTCGTCCTTCCTCCTCCTCCCTCGTCGTTGTCGTCGTCCGTCGTCGGCGTCTCGTCGTCGTCCCTCCTATTTCGTCGCCGTCGTAGTCGTCGTCGTCGTTGTCGTCGTCGTCGTCGTCTTCCCTCCTCCCTCGTCGTTGTCGTCGTCGGCGTCGCCGTCCTTCCTCCTTCTTCGTCGTTCGCGTCGTCGCCGTCCTCCCTCCTCCCTCGTCGTTCTCGTCATTGTCGTCGTTGTCGCCGTCGTCTTCCTCCCTCCTCCCTCGTCGTCGTCTTCGTTGGCGACGTCGTCATCGTCTTCGTCGTCGTCGGCGTCGGCGTCGTCGTTGTCTTCGTCGTCGTCGACGTCGGCGTCGTCGTCGTCGCCACCGTAGTCGTCGTCGTCGTCGTCGTCGTCCTTCTTGCTTCTCCAGCCTTCTTGGGGCGCTTTTGAGGCGCCCCCGAGGGCTCCAAGACGACCCCGGAGCGATAACTGTGCTCGGTCCCGGAGCCCTCGACACCGCAAGGGTTTTGCAGACCAAAATGCGGGTGGGTGGGTGGGATGTTTGCAAGAGCGTGGGATGTGTCAACTCATGTGTAAAAATCAATTGCACCAAATAGATCGCGCAACATAGATTGCAAAACATATATTGTGCGACATAGATAGCACCACGTCGATTCTCCTTTCTAAAGAGGGAATAGACTCTCCCCCCCCGGCGTTATCCGTACCCCTTTCGGGTATGTAAGTCATATATAATTCTGACCACAGGTCCATCCTAGAAAATGAATTTACACTATCCCTGGGGGGGCGGTATCGACCCCCCTGAGGTTCCCTTGAAAAAAAACAATGCTCGGGATCATCTTTTGTTCTAACATAGCACTGTTTCACGAATCCCTTGCAAAAATGGGACGAAATGCGCACGCGCGCGCCGTCGCGCGCGCATGCCGAAATCCTCCAAACACCTTCGGTGCCGGAGATTTCGCAATCGAGGTTCCCCAAAAACATGCAAAAGCACAGGGTTTCGCAACACTGATTTGCTGAAAAAGCTTACGCGCGAGCTCTTGCGAAATCTTAAGAAAACCATTTTTTTTTTTTTTTTTCAAGATTTTCAGAACATGCTACCGAACGGGCTTCGCGCGCGCATTTCGAAATCTGTCGAACGCCCTTGCGCGTGTGCCGTCGCGAGAATCCTTTATAACAAATAAAACGAAGTGCAGACGCGCGCGTCGTCGCGCGCGTATGCCGAAATCCTTCACAACCCATCGGCTTCGGAAGGAATTCAACATCGTGTGTCCAAGAAACCTACAAAAACACAAGGTTTCGCAACACAGATTTTCAACAAAAGCGTGCGCGCGCGCTCTTGCGTCGCCGTCGTCGTCGTCGTCGTCGCCGTCCTCCCTCCTCCCGCGTCGTCGTCGTCGTCGCCTACGTCGTCCTCTGTCTTTCCTCGTGTTCGTCGTCGTCGTCCTCTTTGGCGTCGTGGTCGTTTCCGTCGTCGTTGTCGCCGTGGTCGTCCTTCCTCCTCCTCCCTCGTCGTCGTCGTCGTCCGTCGTCGGCGTCTCGTCGTCGTCCCTCCTATTTCGTCGCCGTCGTCGTCGTCGTCGTCGTCGTCGTCGTCGTCGTCGTCGTCGTCGTCGTCGTCTTCCCTCCTCCCTCGTCGTTGTCGTCGTCGGCGTCGCCGTCCTTCCTCCTTCTTCGTCACTCGCGTCGTCGCCGTCCTCCCTCCTCCCTCGTCGTTGTCGTCGTTGTCGTCGTCGTCGTCCTCCCTTCTCCCTCGTCGTCGTCGTCGTCTTCGTTGGCGGCGTCGTTGTCGTCGTCGTCGTCGTCGTCGTTGTCTTCGTTGTCGTCGGCGTCGGCGTCGTCGTCGTCGGCGTCGTCGTCGTCGTCGTCGGCGTTGTCATCGTCGTCGTCGTCGGCTTCGTCGTCGTCGTCGGTGTCGTCGTCGAGGTCGTTGTCGTCGTCGGAGTCGTTGGAGACGTCGTCGGTGTCGTCGTAATCGGTGTCGTCGGCGGCGCCGTCGTCGTCGCCGCTGTCGCTGTCATCGTCGGCGTCGGTGTCGTGGCCAACTGCCTTGTGGTACCTACCGTCACGGTCTTGTCTTAAGAGGTCTTGCGACCAAGTTGCGGATGGGAGGGTGGGATGTTTGCACGAGCAGAGGAGAGGACAGCTTCAAGACGGTCAAAGCGAGTTGCACCAAATAGATTGTGCACCGCACAGCACAACATAGCTGGTACACCAGGTGTTGCACAACATATAATACACCAAGTATACTGCATCACATATTTTGCTTCACATCTATTGCACAACGTGGATGGCTAGGAATACACTGTTTGGGGTCCACGCGGGCTGACATATTATATGAGATCCAAGGCTCAAGGCCCACGCCCCCCCCCCTCCCCTCCTAGATGGGATGGGTCTCGCGGCCCCACTCACCTGTCCCCCCAAGATGGGGTAGGGGGGGGGGGGGACGACGACAACGATGACGACGACGACGACGACGACCCCCCTCATCACCACACCACACGACGGCTGACCCACCAGCAAGAGGGGGGGGGACCCTAGAACACACACATACATAGATACATACATACATACATGCATCCATCCATCCATCCATCCATCCATCCATCCATACATACATACATATATATATATATATATATGAGAAACTACACTTGTACATACACATGTATGTATGTATGAATGTACATATATATACATATATATATCGAATTGGCAATGTGGTGTGTTTTTTCCCCCCAACCCTCCTTGTGTTGGGTACTCGTTTTGAAGAGAGCACTGTGGTATCCACCTTCCGCCCTCTCCTCCTTCTTCTCTCCTGTGTTCGCGGTGCCCTGCGGGGCTGCGATCTGCGCAACTGTCGCCACTTCGTGGGCTCCTGGGAGGCCCAGCGGAGGTACGTCCTACGCAGATCACTTTGAGGCCTCCCTGTCCCCTGCCCTGCGGGGCTGCGATCTGCGCAACTGTCGCCACTTCGTGGGTTCCTGGGAGGCCCAGCGGAGGTACGTCCTACGCAGATCACTTTGAGGCCTCCCTGTCCCTTGCGGGGCTGCGATCTGCGCAACTGTCGCCACTTTCGTGGGTTCCTGGGAGGCCCAGCGGAGGTACGTCCTACGCAGATCACTTTGAGGCCTCCCTGTCCCCTGCGGGGCTGCGATCTGCGCAACTGTCGCCACTTTCGTGGGTTCCTGGGAGGCCCAGCTGAGGTACGTCCTACGCAGATCACTTTGAGGCCTCCCTGTCCCCTGCGGGGCTGCGATCTGCGCAACTGTCGCCACTTCGTGGGTTCCTGGGAGGCCCAGCGGAGGTACGTCCTACGCAGATCACTTTGAGGCCTCCCTGTCCCTTGCGGGGCTGCGATCTGCGCAACTGTCGCCACTTTCGTGGGTTCCTGGGGGGCCCAGCGGAGGTACGTCCTACGCAGATCACTTTGAAGCCTCCCTGTCCCCTGCGGGGCTGCGATCTGCGCAACTGTCGCCACTGTCGTGGGTTCCTGGGAGGCCCAGCTGAGGTACGTCCTACGCAGATCGCTTTGAGGCCTCCCTGTCCCTTGCGGGGCTGCGATCTGCGCAACTGTCGCCACTTTCGTGGGTTTTTGGGAGGCCCAGCGGAGGTACGTCCTACGCAGATCACTTTGAGGCCTCCCTGTTCCCTGCGGGGCTGCGGTCTGCGCAACTGTCGCCACTTTCGTTGGTTCCTGGGAGGCCCAGCGGAGGTACGTCCTACGCAGATCACTTTGAAGCCTCCCTTGTCATCTGCGGGGCTGCGATCTGCGCAACTGTCGCCACTTTCGTGGGTTCCTGGGAGGCCCAGCGGAGGTACGTCCTACGCAGATCACGTTGGGGCCTCCCTGTCCCCTGCGGGGCTGCGATCTGCGCAACTGTCGCCACTTTCGTGGGTTCCTGTGAAGCCCAGCGGAGGTACGTCCTACGCAGATCACGTTGGTGCCTCCCTGTCCCCTGCGGGGCTGCGATCTGCGCAACTGTCGCCACTTTCGTGGGTTCCTGTGAAGCCCAGCGGAGGTACGTCCTACGCAGGTCACATTGAGGCCTCCCTGTCCCCTGCTGGGCTGCGGTCTGCGCAACTGTCGCCACTTTCGTGGGTTCCTGGGGGGCCCAGCGGAAGTACGTCTTACGCACACCACTTTGAGGCCCTGTCCCCTTGGCGCACCTGGCGCGCACCTGGCGCACCTGGCACGCACCTGGCGCGCTGGGCGCACCTGCCGCACCTGACGCGCTAGGCGCGCCTGGCGCGCACCTGGCGCACCTGGCGCACACCAGGCGCACCGGGCGCACCTGGCGCGCCCTGCGCGTATCTGGCGCGCACCTGGCGCGCACCTGGCGCGCACCTGGCGGACCTGGCGCGCTGGGCGCACCTGGCGCACCTGCCGCACCAAGCGCACCTGGCGCACCTGGCGCGCCTGGCGCGCCTGGTGCAACTGGCGCACCTGGCGCACACCTGGCACACCTGGTGCATCTGGCGCACCTGGCGCACCTGGCGCAGACCTGGCGCACCTGGCGCGCCTGTCGCACCTGGCGCACCTGGCGGACTTGGCGCACCTGTCGCACCTGGCGCGCATGGCGCACCTGGCTCACTTGGCGCGCCTGGCGCAAATGGCGCACCTGGCACACCTGGCGCGTGACTTGCGCACCTGGCGCGCACCTGGCGCGCACCTGGCGCACACGTGGCGCACACCTGGCGCAACTGGCGCGCACCTGGCGCGCACCTGGCGCGCACCTGGCGCGCACCTGACGCGCTGGGCGCACCTGGCGCACCTGACGCGCTGGGCGCACCTGGCGCGCCTGGCGGGCATGGCGCAACTGGCGCGCCTGGCGCAACTGGCGCACCTGGCGCAGCTGGCGCGCCTGGCGCGCACCTGGCGCACAGCTGTCGCACCTGGCGCACCTGGCACACCTGGCGCACCTGGCGCACCTGGCGCACCTGGCGCGCTAGGCGCACCTGGCGCACACCTGGCGCACACCTGGCGCACCTGGCTCACTTGGCGCGCCTGGCGCACCTGGCGCACCTGGCGCGCCTGGCGCGCCTGGCGCCACTGGCGCACCTGGCGCACCTGGCGCGCCTGACGCCACTGGCGCACCTGGCGCACCTGGCGCGCCTGGCGCGCCTGGCGCACCTGGCGTACCTGGCGCAGCTGGCGCACCTGGCACACCTGGCGCGCTGGGCGCACCTGGCGAACCTGGCACACCTGGCGCACAGCTGGCGCACATTTGGCGCACACTTGGCGCACCTGGCGCGCCTGGCGCATCTGGCGCACCTGGCGCGCCTGGCGCGCCTGGCGCACCTGGCGCACGTGGCGCACCTGGCGCACCCGGCGCACGTGGCGCACGTGGCGCACCTGGCGCACCTGGCGCGCCTGGCGCGCTTGGCTCACCTGGCGCGCACGGGCTTCTGGGAGGCTCAGCGGAGGTACGGTCTACGCAGATCACCACTATACCATGGCGCCGAAATGTCGTTCGGTGTTGAGTGGTCCTGAATGCAATTGCCACTTGTGTAGAAAGGATTGGGTACGTCGCAGGATAATCGTTTCTGCTTACGGTCGCAGGGACCTTCAAGAGAGGACCAATATGAATCGTTGCCTTTGCTTGTCCTTTTGGTTCATACCTCCTGCTTTTTCGCACCCTCCTTTTGCCTGATGCCTCCCTCCGTCGTCCTTCCTCCCTCCTCCACCCTTGCTCCTCCCCCTGCTGCTCCTCCCTCCCCCACAATGGCACATCATGAATACTACTCTCCTCTCTCCCCTGAATCTGTGCGGAAGATGGCCGGCACCTCTCGGCGTAGTGTTTTTTTACGCAGGATTGTCAGGAGTTTGGTTTTCATCTGTGCTTTTGGACAATCCGATTCTTTTCGGTCCTTCAAACTTTTGCTCCCGCTGCAGCGCTGTCCGCCTTTCTGCGCCTCTGGTAACTCTAAATCGTGCTACCGATGCATCGTTTTGAAGAAATATTGATTGGGAGCCCTGTTTGCGATGCTGAAAGCAGAGCCAGCGGATGCTCTCCATCAGCCCCGCGTCAGTGGGAACTGCCCTGGGAGCCCAGGGAGCTGAACAGGGAGCCGCGACTTCAGACCGGCCCAGACCTCTCAAAGACAATGCACTCCAAGGAACGCGGCGCCATGCCATCACATGCAGCGCGGTGTTGTGTTCTGTGCCGTTGTGCGATGCCATGCTTTTGCGCTGCAATGCTTTGCGATGCGCTGCTTCACTAAGCAATGCCACGCCATGCTGTGACACGCTACGTTCTGATGTGTTTTTCCCCACATCCTAAGTGGGGTTCTTGTTTTCTCTGGACGCCCCGCGCATTCCTCCCACACCCCCCCTCTCTTTCTTCCCCCCCCACATCCAAAATGGGGTTCTTGTTTTCTCCGGACACTTCGCGCAGGAACCTCACCTCATCTCACCTCCCAGCCCTCTCCCCTTAATTCACCATCATCATTATCATCACCATCGCCACTCATCGCCACTACTCATCATCGTCACCATCATCATAATCATCACAGTCATGCACACCCACACCATTATCACCATCATCAACAACAACATCATCATCAGTCGATCAATCATCATCATTATCACATTCACCCTCATCACCATCATCATCATCACCACTCATCATCATCATCGTCATCATCCTCATCATCGTCACCATCATCATCACTCGATCACCTACTCATCATCATCATCATCATCATCATCATCATCATCATCACTTACTCACTCTCTCAGTCACCCACTCACTCGCACACTCTCCCACTCATTCATCACTTCGTTAGCACTCACCCCCTAGCTTGTATAAATATATATATATCGCTCGTACACGATGGGTCAGTTCATCTTAGCTTTCGAGAGAGACCGCACAGGGCCCTCAGAAGAAGTAGTAGATAGGCGGGCCGGACCCGCTGTGGTCGGAAGCCCAGTCGGCGTAAGACCATCCCGCTGGAGCATGGCGTCGATCTGCTCCGACGTCGCCCAGACGACCTCCTTCTGGTGGCGCACCTTCTGGGCAGGTGCGTCCGCGATCACCAGCAGGTTGGCAGGCTTGATGCGCTTGCACACAGGGTCCGCACCGAGCCGCACGCACACGCGGTCGCCCGCGAAGCTGACGATCGAGCCATTCTTATTATTCAGGGCCTCGGCAGTGAGGTGGTACGTGACGACCGAACCGCCAACCACGAGCTGGGAACCCTGCGAATCTTCCCGCCCATCGTGGCAGCTCTTGGTCTCCTCGGTCGTGTTCCTGCCCTCTGCCTCAACCATCTTCTTATACTCGACGATCGAAGGCTCCTCTGACGGCTTCACGGCCAGCGAGTCGACAAGGAGGGCGGATCCACTCGGCAAGGTCGACTCCCCCAGCGCGGCCATATCCCTGGTCATGTCTAGCTTCACTGCCGCAAGCCTCTCCTCCAGCTCGGTGCGAAGTTGCTTCCCTTCCTCACCCAGGGAGGCCTTCACAGCAGCCGATAGGGCCGAAAAAGACTTGTCCAGAGAAGCCTGGACGTCAAGCGTGACCTGCTCGAGCGTGTCCTTGAGCCTGTTGTCCACCTGAGCTATCACCTTGGAAGGCAGGCGCTTGTCCAGGGAAGCCTCCGCCGCCGCACCGAGCGACAAGCGCAAGGTCCGAACATCCTGCGTATTGCTCTGGATTTGAGCGGCGAGGTCCACGACTGGGGCTGTCCCCGCGCTTAGAATCTCAAATTGGTGCACCAGCGTTGCAATAGTGGCATTTTGAGCGTCAACTAACAAATTCAGTTCATGTATGCAATCCGTGCCAGAATTCGTAGCTTTACCAACCAAATATGCAGAACCAACATTAGGAAAGAATTCAGGAGCAGCTTTGTCCATGCCTGGAGCAGCTACTCTGCACTCAATTAGATCTGCCAATCGAATAACAACCGGCGGCCGACCAGAAGACTTCGAAGCAGCCTGCAGCGATGGCCGAACAGGAAGAAACTCAGCAAGACGAGTTGTAACCGGTTCCATCTGTATATATATATATATATATATATGTATACATATGTATATATATATATATATATATATGAAGTCTCAAGCGGGAGCCTCGTCTGTGAGTGAATTGTGAGGAAGTCTCAGGCAAGAACCCCTTCCCTATGGGTCCCGCACTTCACGTTGGTAATCCGAGCGGGTCATCCGAGACGTGTAACCGTCCTCACTGTTGGGCTCCTCAGGCCTGAATTTTGGGGAAGTATCAAGCGGGAGTTTCGTCTGTGAGTGAATTGTGAGGAAGTTTCAAGCGGGAGCTCCTTTCCTATGGGTCCCGCATTTTATGTTGGTAATCCGAGCGGGTCATTCGAAACGTGTAACTGTCGTCATTTTTGGGCTCCTCGGGCTTGAATTTGGGGGAACTATGAAGCGGGAGCTTCGTCTGTGAGTGAGTTGTGAGGAAGTCTCAAGCGGGAGCCCCTTTCCTAGGGGTCCTGCATTTCATGTTGGTAATCCGAGCGGGTCATCCGAAACGTGTAACCGTCGTCACTTTTGGGCTTCTCAAGCTTGAATTTGAATGAAGTATCAAGCGGAAGCTTCGTCTGCGAGTGAATTGTGAGGCAGTTTCAGGCGGGAGCTCGTTTCCTATGGGTCCCGCACTACATGTTGGTAATTCGAGCGGGTCATCCGAAACGTGTAACAGTCGTCATTTTTGGGCTCATCAGGCTTGAATTTGCGGGACGTATCAAGCGGGAACCTCGTCTGTGAGTGAATTGAGAGGATATCTCAAGCGGGAGCTCCCTCCTTATGGCTCCCGCCTTTTGGGCCAAAGCTTAAGCCTCCAGCGCCCTGCGCGGCGACTCTCCGCCATGACGGGTCCCGCATTTTATGTTTGTAATCCGAGCGGGTCATCGGATTCCTGTGGCTTTCGTCATTTTTTGGGCTCCTGAGGTACTGACGACAACGACGACGACGAGACAGCCCCTTGTGTCCGGGCCGGGGGTGGTAACCCATCCTCGGCCGAATGGGGGGCAGGGGTAACCCCTTGTCTCCGGGCCGCCGGTGGTAACCCATCGGCGGCCGAATCGCCCCCGTTATTTACCGAAGGGAATCAGGCTGCAGGTCCACGGTTTCAAGGAGTCCCCGATCTACAAAGAGGTCGTCGAGTTGCTGCTGCCGGGCGCCGAAGGCGCCGTTGAACGCCGCGAGGCCGAGGCGCGGGCTCGGAACTTTCTGATGTTCAGGCCCAGCGAGCAGGAGCTCACGTGGCAGAGCTCGGGGCCGTACGCCGTGCGCCGCTTGGGGTTCACTCCGACTCGCGCGTCCTACCTCACTTCCACGCTGTCGCAGGGCCAGACGCTGCGCAAGGGCGTCACCATCGATTGCGCGAGGGACGAAGACGTCGGCCGCACGGGCAAGTCGGACGACCAGTGGTGGCTGCACCTCTACGTCTCGCTCTCCCGCGCCACGTGCATGCGGAACGTGCCGATCCTGCGGCCGCCCCCGCGCGACCTCCTGGAGCGAGGGCCGCCAA